TCTACGTGAGTGAGTGTCCAGAGAGGGTCTCAGGGTATAGTAAGCTCGAGCACCGACATCTTTTTCTTTTATTGCTTGAGAAAGTGGTACATATGTGGATCATAGACAGCTCACATGTACCTTACTACCTTTAATCGCAAATGTTGTTTTTAAAAGTAAAAATGATAAAAGAGAAAATTGTGACTAAAACTCAACCTTTTTCTCAAAATAGGACCACATACATGTTTTTCTCTAAATAGGACTAACCTTACCTTTTTACCTCTAATTCTATTTAATTAATTAATTGATCTAAATAATTGCCCCCTCTAGTTTCCTTGCACAATCAAGGCAGTCCGTCGGTGGCGGGGCAGTCCGTGGTGGCGGTAGCACTCTGGCAGCGGCCAGCGGCGGCGGCGGCAACTCCGGCAATTAATTAACCCAATTAATTGCCCCCCTAGTTCTCTTGCACAACCAAGGCAGTCCCGAGGTGGCGGCAGCGGAAGAGGCGGTTTCCGACGGCGCCAGCGGTTTCCGGCGGCGGCGGCGGCGGCAGGTGGCCGCAGGTGTTGGCAAACCTCCAGAAAAAAAAATCTGGAATTTTACCGGCGGCTGTGGCCGGCGGCAGACGGCGGTCCGGCAGTCCCTGGGCAGCAGTGGTAAAGGTTGTGAGGGGTATTTTGGTCCAATCACTAATAAAAAGTCCCATTTAAGGATGTTTAAACTAGGTACTCCTATTTTGAGAAAAAAGCCATGTTTTGATCCTATTAAGGTAAATCTCCCATGATAAAAAGCAAATTGATGTAGAATGAAGTAGAGAGCAAGGGCGGAGCCAGGGCACTGGGCCGGACTGTGCCGGTACAAATAATATTTTTATTAAAAAAATTACACGAAATTTTTTACCTTAAAAATTAAGCCATTTTTAAAATTAGGGGTGGGCCATGGCCTAGGTTGGCCCACCCCTGGCTCCGCCCATGGTAGAGAGTGTCTCGAATTTTTTGTTTCGTGTCGAGAACCGTCCTGAATTGTACCATAAATGAATAAATCGGAAAAATATAATACTGTATCATACTCTATCGAATTTTATTAATACTACTCGTTTCACTTACATTGGGACATGAGGAAGTGACACAATTATTAAGAAATGAGTTTATATATTTGATATCGAATAGATAAAACAAGAACAAAGTAAAATGATTTCATTTGCACAAATTTTATCAATTTGGTTTCAAGTAGAAAATTTTAATGGTACGAGTCGAAAAAGAAGGAAGAGACAATTTTAGCAGGATGGAGTGAGTAATATAGTATGGTACTGGTTCTTAAGTAAGAAGCGTCCTAGAACCCAATTGAACCGAATCGTCTCATATTACCCCGAAAAATTGGTTATATAAAATAATATGTAGCATACATTTTAGTACTCTGCATATATTATATATACTTACATCATGGTTACTCAAAGCTTTGGTATAGACTATATAATGCACATTATTTGGGGCCCCAATACAATTAAAGGGTACTAAAACCTACAATATTCTTGACTTTGTAGGAGTTAATTATTTAGGAATTGAATAGTTTTGAAGAACTGTATCGAATTGTACCGAACCATACTGAAAATTGGTACAAAACGGTACAAGTTATATATATTCGAGACAGTATCGATTCTTCAATTTTTAAAATAACCGTACTTTGGGTTTGTACAATTTTTTTGAAATAACCGTCTCGTACAGTCTCATACTCACCCCTAAAACGAAGAAGGTGCAAAATGGATTTATAAGATATATATATTAATAATGAGAACAAATATTGTTCGTCGTAATATGCACTTTTCTGAATGGATTTACAAAGATTGATTAAGCCCTAACAATAGTGGTGGGGCCCGGCAATGAATCATCAAGTAATGATTCTACATCCTTTGTTGGCAATACTAAATTAACCCACGTGTCTATGTATGATTACAAGATTGTGAAATAGACAGGTGGCTTGATCAAAAGATTGAAATTAGATGAATAGATTCATTACATGGATATGATGGACAATTCACACTAGCTTGTAATGTCCATGATTTTACAACACAAACGTTAATTTTTTATGATAAAAAAGTTACTATTATACTTTTGAAAGATAAAAATATGACATAGTTTTCATTATAATGAATGTGACTGTCCTTTATTTAATTGATGTAAATTTGTTTTAATTCTAACATTAAACTATTTACCTCTACTCCTTGCCCCTTGTCCACTCCCTAAGATCTCATCGTTGTTTGCAGCCGCAATCTTTGACAATTGCCACCAACAAATTCATCAAAAAAGTCAAAAAAAAATTACTGTCAGAGAGTGACATACTACGTATTACAATCACATTGACATGTTTCACATCGATAGTCATAGGGGTGTAAATGAGCCAAGCCGCTCGCGAGCTGCTCGTGGATCGCTCGGGAAAAGCTCGACTCGAGTTCGGTCATATTAAGCTCGGCTCGAGTTCGGCTCGACTCAAATAGTTAACAAGCTCAATTCAAGCCTATTTATTTTAGACTCGTGGCTTGCGAGCCTGTTCGCGAGCCTTTGTGTCATATTTTATATATAATAAATATATACATAATAATTATATATGTACTTTTTAATATATATTCTATTTTAGGACTATTCCATTTTCAATACTTATCATAGAGTATATTATAATTTATAATAGGAATAATTACAAAAATAATAACATGATGTGCGTAGTGTTATTATTATTATAACCATAATCTGTAATAATTATAATATGTACTCTTAATATTTATTGACAGTAAAATAAAGAATAAAAATATTAGTAAATGAGAGATAAACTAAAAATTAGAATGAATAAGTACACATATAATATTTTTAGCTCGAGTTCGAGCATCTTATTCGAGTTCAAACCTATAAAAATTAATTAGTGAAACTTGACCCGAGCTCGAATCAAGCTCGAATGGAGCTCGAGCCGAGTTCGGCTCGAGATCGAACTCGAATTATTTAACTCGCCCAAGTTCGAGATCGAGCTCGAGCTCGTGAATTCTTATCAAGCTCAAGCTCAAACATACGCATGCTCGGGCTCGGCTCAGCTCGTTTGCACTCCTTAGTCATATAAAAATTTGTTAGTATATCATATTTTCCAAATGAATTAATTCCACTTTTGCTCCTACGAGTTATTTGTCATTTCCACATATAATCCATGTCTTTCACTCTACCCATGTTTGATACTTGACTCATATTTCTTAACCATTTGTTGTCCTTCTCCAACGATTTTAACCACCGGAATTATTGCCGGAAGGACCATATATTTGAGGAAAACACAATAGTCATGTACTAAAAGTGGTCAAAATCACAGACATGAATGAATTGTGAAATCGGTGTGATACTCATAGGATCAAAAGTGGAATTTATTCTTTCCAAATTTATTATCACGGTAGTCATTTTTTTTGTCTATCTGTAAAAGTAATTATTTTTTAAAATGAACTTCAATTTAATCATACTTAAGAAAAAAACCTTTTAAATTTGAGGATCCAATTGGGTGATTTTGAAGCACAAGATCATAATTAACTTTTTTTTTACGTAGTACGAAAGCTTATTTCACAATTTCCCCAAAAAATATTATTTCTTTTTCTAAGCATTTATAATCTAATAAAATTGCAATCCCAATATCCCCACAAAAAGAAAAGTGATAAATATGTAAATGCACAACACAAATTAAAAATAACATTATTGATTCTAATACAATTAAAATTATATCTTTGTCATACTTTTAAAATTAAATAGTGACTAACTTGTCCCCGACGTTGATCGAGTACGTGGTTCATCGGGTCAAGATTAACTCTTGACTCGATGATTGGGTCACTTTCCAATTCGGTTTTTAAACATATACATGTTTAAGGATTGGTTCAAATAAAAAATTTATCTTAGGTGAAAGATAATGATTAATTTTGGTCATTGGTGTCACAAAATGTGTGATGAGATCAAATTCTAATAAGATTATATCAGAATGTAAAATACGTGCATTTATACAATTTAAAAGTGCATCCTAATAATTATGAAATAGTACTCGTAATAGATAATTTAAGCATACATGTTTAAACTTGTGAAACTATCTGGATCAAGGCAATCTAATGTCATTACAATCAATTTCAGTAATACATACGGTTGGTTTGCAACTCCTTTTAAAAAAACACTTCTCAGCTTTTGGCTTTAAAAAAGCACTTATTTTCCCAAACACTACAACTTTTATTTTTCTCGGCTTCCGCGTCAAAAGTGCTTTTACTTTTTCTATTACACAAAAAACACTTATTTTACCAAACACTACTCACTTTTGCTTTTCAAAATCTCTTTTTTCTCAATCACTTTTTTAAAAGCAGAAACGGTTGCAAACAGATCTATACCCATAGTATGTCACTTTCATAAATTCATTCAAGTATTCCTAGTTTTGAGCGGAAGCCGAATATCTTTAGGGTCTGTTTGCAACAGCTTCTGCTTTTAAAAAAGTGCTTTTTTAATAAAATGGGGAGAAGTGATTAAATAAAAGTTGATAGTGTTTGAGAAAAAAGTGATTTTGAAAAGTAAAAGTGGATAGTGTTTGGTAAAATAAGTGCTTTTTGTGTAATAGAAAAAGTAAAAACACTTTTGACGCGGAAGCCGAGAAAAATAAAAGTTGTAGTGTTTGGGAAAATAAGTGCTTTTTTAAAGCCAAAAACTGAGAAGTGCTTTTTTAAAAGCAGTTGCAAACCAACCCTTAGCATGCTTCCATCTTTTTCATTTCATGCTGTTTAAAATCTGTAAACATTCTAAAATCAATGGAGCATATGAAATTGTGGAGAGCATCTTTTACTTTACCAAATGAAGTCATGAACATGATGATAGCTGTACTTTTGTTTTTGACTCCGTTCATATTACGATGTACAGAGTATAATATACTGTACAATATACTACACGTATAATTTTACATGTACAGCAACTTGCTGATTTTAACCTTTTTTAGAAGACATGCGTTCCTTATGCATTTGGACTGTCATTGCTGGCTTTTCATTACAAGTGTGAGAATCTCTGGAAATTCCGGCGAGTCCCATCGGATTTCAGCCGTGTTAATCGATTTCCGGCTCCCAGTTCACAGTATGGATGAACCTAAATAGAGGGCTGCATACAAATCTAGAATGAAAACTTGAAATGCTCATCTGCACTTGGAGAGTTGGAGGAGTCTAGTCCGGAGAAATTTACCATTGATGGGGTCTTGTTTCAGCGTTGAAGAAGAATTCCTACAACAAAATAAATCGTCAAATCGGGACTCGGGTATATTTTTCCCTTTTAGGCTTATTTGATTTAATTGTTTCTTTGATCTATACGAGTCTCATTATTATTGACTTGAAACCAATAGTGGTGCTGTCATTGTTGCTTGCTTTAAATAGAGGTTTGTTTAGCAACTTAGTAATAATAGGTACTTCCTTAGAGCTGAGATGCAGTTATGGAATCTTCCAAGTTTAGTAAAGTAACATTACTTCAAAAGTCCTGTATACTGATTATGTGTGATGACACCATCATTGTCTTTCATAAATGGATTATTATTGAGTTGGATCTGATGGAGCTATCAGCTATCAGATTGCTCTGAAACTCGATTTACACTTGAACTTGTGTTAACATTTCATTTGATACTATTCCAAATAGGATTCATGTGTAAGCTCAAACTATAACTATTGTTTTGTGACTTATGACATCATATTTATATGGTTAATGGGTATCATTATTTAAAGCTCTAAGTACATTGACATGGGTTATTTTAAATTTTGCTTAACAAAGATAGTAATAAGTGTACATTTACTAAGGACAATAATTATTACAAGTCCAAAGGCATAGTCTTCATTTGCATTCCACATATTTTTGGCTTTTCCTTCCAAGATTATAACAATAAGAGCCCATTTGGTAAGAATTTCTTGTCTGATATCATTGAGTTTGCTGAATTTTTCGAAAGGAAAAGCCTTTGGTAAAATCACCAAATAATTCAAAAGCTACTTTTTTTGGTTATTCTGCTTGTAACCAGAGTAAGCCGCTTTTGCCTACCAAACGGGCTTGTAGTTATTCTTTTGAACACATAATTACTATCATTTTTTTTAAATAATGCAGTTAGCCCTGGAGTTGCCCCATCACTAGCCAAAGCAAAGTATGCAAGTCCGAGGAAGATATGTTCACCAGAAGTCAATGAGACTAATAGTGAAAGCAAGAGAGTTGTAATACCCAAAAATGTGAAGGACTTGAGACAAAGTCCTGGGAATAGTGATCTTGATTTATTCACTTATGCAGAAATGAAATTGGCTACCAAGAACTTTCGACCCAATAAAGTTCTTGGCGAAGGTGGGTTTGGCATTGTCTATAAAGGAGTCATAGATGAACATGTCAGAGCAGGGTACATAAGCACTTGTGTTGCCATTAAAAAACTTGATCCTGAAGGTCATCAGGGTGATAGAGAATGGCTGGTAATTTTCTGCAACACAACAAAGTCATGGATTATGATAAGATATTCAAATAGGCAAGTATTTGTTATGTTTACTAGGTAGTGTGCCCAAGGATTGAGTTTATGCGATGTGAAATTAAAACGAGCTTTAAAGATAGTGTCTTAGAGCCCAGTTCCCCTGTACTATCCCCATTTTCATCTTAAAAATCCTCAATGCTTATTGAAAATGCGTTCCTCAAGTATTTTTTGCTTTGCTTTGCTTGTTTTAGCTAGTACTTTAGATATCTAGAGCTCTCTGTGACTACTGTGCTATCTTTTTTTCTGGTTATGTTAAAGTCTGGCTATGTGAAATTATAATGAACTAAATGATAAGCTACGGATACATGATAAATTGTTTTTTTTGTAACTTTCAGAAAATGTAGATTCTCATACCCAAACTATTGTTAGATGTAAACTTTTGTAGCTCACATAAATGGTGGTCTGTGGACCTGCTTTCTTGATTTTGGAAGACTGTCTATATATATATGGAACCATTTTTTCCTAGTTCTCCCTATAACTAAAACTAGGAAAAAACTTTTGTTAGATGTAAACTTTTTTAGCTCACATAAATGGAGCCAAAGATTCACTATTTTTTGGCTTGAGAATATGATGGAATAAAGCAAAATGGCTCACTAAACTGTCCGCGCTTCTTTGTTATGAAGCAGCAGTCAGTCCATGCAATTTTGGAAGCGATTTTCACTATGGGTCATCCGGAAACAGTCGCTCTGTGCTTTAGTACAGGGGTAAGATTGCATACATCCGACCCCCCCTTACCCCACCTACGGTGGGAGAGCCTTTGCGGCACTGGGGTAATGATGATGATGTTGTTATAACTGCTGGTCTGTGGACCTGCTTTCTTGATTGTTGAAGACAATGTGTCTATATGTATGGAACCATTTTTTTCCTATTCCTCTAATCTCTCTTTAACTAGAACTGCTCATATTAGAGATTTTTTTGCATACTTAAAATCGAAATGGAAGAAAACATCCCAAATCTATGCTCAGTATAGTCAACTCTCGATAGTCGGGACCAAACCATAAATAATGTCCACACTAGGTTGTATAGTCAAGATCCATATATTAAAACAAAGGGTTCATCTTCTGAGGAAACTCACACCATTTACTTGGCACATTAATGTTAATAGTTCATTTCTGAGAAAGCTTGCCGTTGCAGGCAGAGGTTAACTACTTGGGCCAGCTTCGACATCCGAATTTGGTGAAGCTCATAGGGTACTGCTGTGAGGATGAGCACAGGCTATTAGTTTATGAATACATGGCATCTGGCAGCCTGGAGATACACCTGTTTCCTAGTAAGTACTTCACTCACATCTCAATTACTGACAATATCTGTCCTTATCTCTAATCCTTGGGGTCCATCTGGAACTCAGAAAAAAACTAGGGAAAGAAATTAGGAAGTAAAACATAAAGGAAAATTGGTAGGAACGAAAATATGAGGGGAAATAAAGATAGGCTAAAACTTAATATATGTATTCCAGAATCCAGATATTTTCCGGTAATCATTGTATATCTATGTCACATATATAAAGACTGGGAAAACTGGATATATGTATTTACTTAAAAGTTAATCATAATTTTGTTCCATTTCGTTCTAATAGCGAAAACCAAACACATGAATTCGGATTTCATTTGAAATATTTTTCCTTTCTCCTATTATTTTTCGGGTTTTAAGTGCACCCTGACTCCTTGAGAAACCCTTAGCTCATGGAGTTCTTACTGAAGATGATTAGTCTACACTTGTCCGTTTGTTATGTTACTCCAGAAAAACCAAGTTTATCTTGTATTTCTGGAGCTTGGGGATTTTTCCTTTGTGCTTGATTGTAATTATCTCATCTGTTCTTTTTATGTATGTGAATGGAGAGCTGCTTGTACTATTAATTATCATTCATGTGAGTTTTCTGCTCTCAGGAGTGTCTACTACACTAGCATGGTCGAGGAGAATGAGGATTGCATTGGATGTTGCTTTTCTTCATGGAGCAGATAGGCCTGTCATCTATAGGGATTTCAAAACTTCAAACATTCTATTGGATGCGGTCAGTATGTAATCCTTCTTGCTGTAATGCTGTGTCTTTGCTTTCCTGTCTCATTCTGGACATCTTCATAATAAAAATTTATAGTTGAAAGATTGTATTTTACATAAGTAAAGTATTTAATCTTTTGAATTTTGATTAGACTTGTATGATTTTATTCAGCGAGGAGACCAGAAGGGAAAATCAATTGTTTTTTATGTTAAAACCAGTACCTTAGGGTATATTTGGACCAAAATGCTATACTGCTATAGCATAGGAAAATATATGTTAAGTGAAGTGAATCAAGTGATTTTCTTATATTCATCTTTACCTTAGAAAATGTGATTTAAAATGAAATATGGTTATTACTTTTTTTTTTCCTTCTCTATGGTATGAAATTAAGTAAATGAAATAAGTTTGAGCAAATGTGTATAAGAACTTCATTGAGTTATATGTTTTCATCCATTTTTTCTGTCCATAGTATTTGACTGTTTTCCAAGCTCCAAATGGACCCTTAAGAATTGTCGGTGTCCTTTTATAGTTAAAATTTGAAATCACAGGAATTCAATGCAAAGCTTTCTGACTTCGGACTTGCAAAAGATGGGCCCATGGGAGATCAAACTCATGTATCAACTCGAGTTATGGGTACGTATGGTTATGCAGCTCCTGAGTATGTCATGACCGGTGAGTATTGTGCTTTACTTGTCCAATCCTATTTTAAGCCCAAAAAAATTCTTTTTTGTCCCACTGAGCTTGAACTGCAACTGTAAAGTGACCAAAATACCCAAATCTATAAATAGGCTATAATCTGGAATCTGGACTGCGAAAGATCCTAAACAGCTCCCATCAGAACTTCTACACATGAAACCAAATGTCTTCTTATGTAACTGCTCAATGACTCCATCCTCACTACACATTGCCTGCCACCTTCACTTGCTCAATAGCCTCACTACCCAACGCCGCCAGCCCTTCAGCAAGCTTCTTCTTCCACCAAATAAAGACTTGACCTTTTCATTATTCTTCTCAGACCATTTTCATCCATCAAGGTATGGGAGTTTTGTGGACGCTTTTTCTTCATGGACCTCTTTCATCTGCCGCTTCCATACTTTGAGTGCGAGCGATATACTGCATCAGATCAAACTTATAGAACTTTTGTGCATAGTGTTTCAGATCCTCACAGGGACACACCAAATCCAATACGAACGAAATATGATCACTGGGTCTTCAAGGCAGCTCACCCTTAGAACTTAACAGTGAGTTAGTGATGGAGGGATACTAAGATGGGTGCAGAAGCCTCTGAGCGGAATCGCTGCCATCTAAAACGTCTTTCTGATCTAACATAATTGTTTAAGTCTCTCACATTAGATATTTGTCGAATTGTGTCTAATATATAAATATTAGTAAATTTTACTTATTGACTGCCCTTTTAGGGAGAGCTAGGCCCGATCTAATATGATATCACAACTGTGGTTTGTTGGTTTGTTTGGTACCCTGTAGTTTGAGGTAGTTGTTTTTAGTCGATTTGGCCCATTTATCCATTCTTAAAATGAAAAGTTACCCAACCTAATTTGGGCTAAGGAGATGTGTTAAGTGTCTCATTTAGGGTATTTACTAGATTTATATCAATATTGTATGTGTGTCTATATGTGTTAAGCCTGATTTAGTAATACCAAAAATGGATGGAGAAGACGGTGAATGGAAAAGCAATGGAATGTGATGCAAGGCCAAGATAATTAGCAGCAGCTCACCAGCCGAAAGGATGGAGACGCAGGATAGAGGGGGGAGGGGGAGGCAATAAATCTATGTTTTTTCTATCTGGTTGCAACGAGAAAAGGGGTGTGTTTCTATTTGGTATTTTGGTCAGTGTTGCCGTAAAAGGAATGGGATAAAATGATTATGTTGGCACAAATCATTAGTGGGTGTTTTGGCCTACAGACATGCTTAAATTACCACAGGAGCAAATCCTATGTAGTGAATAAGTGATAGTTAAGGAAATTAGATATGTTTTAGCCATATCTTGAATCAGTTATTTCATATCTCATCACCATTCTCCTCCATGTTCTCTGCAAAGTAAATGACATTTGACACCAATTCAGGGCATTTGACAGCGCGAAGCGATGTCTATGGGTTTGGGGTTGTGTTGCTTGAGATGCTATTAGGGAGGAGAGCAATGGACAAAAGCAGGCCAAGTCGAGAGCATAATCTCGTCGAATGGGCCCGCCCTCTCCTAACCCACACCAAGAAGCTCTTCAGGATATTAGACCCGAGAATGGAGGGACAATACTCGAACAAGACAGCAGTGAAGGTGGCGAACCTGGCATACCAATGTCTCAGTCAGAACCCAAAGGGTAGACCAGTGATGAGTCAAGTCGTGGAAATACTTGAAGCCCTTCAACCACAAGAAAACGGCTCAGAAGCGATTCTTCAGAGCAGTGGCGGCACCGTCACCCTCTACGAAGTGCAGAAAGATTCATGTGAGAACGAGGGACACTAGTTTAAGTGTGGTAGTGAAAGAAAGGATGAGGTGCACATTATTGTATGCCAATGGAAGAAGCAAGAGTGGGACCCCAGATTGTGGTGATCTATATAGACTATTTTGCTGATGCATGAGGTTGATGAGGGATTTTACCAACTGTTTTGTTCAACACTATGTTGAAGCAAAGCTGAATCTGGAAAAAACAAAGAACAGAAAACAATGTTGAAATTTCGTACAAAATGTGGAACAATTGCTTCTCCATCGTGTTCTTTTCTTCTCGTTGGAGCTTCTTGGGATAAATTACTTTTCATTTACATCCAACTATATATGAATGAGTTGACAAAAACTTGAAGTCAATCCTGTTGGGGTTTACACTTCATAGGCCCCCGGACTTTATAATGCAATTTGATGATGAGTAACTCCTTTTTTTTCCAAATAAACTTAAAAGTCAACTCCACCAATCCACCATATTTCATCTCTCCAGTCATAAGATGGAAGAACAGCAACAAGTGATGCAAATGCAAGTGTGAAATTTCAAAGTAGTAGACTAGTAGCAATATGTTTTCTCTTTAAATATGACTTAATTAGTGACATCATGAAATCATAATATTTGGACATATCGCTTCGGGTTCATTTTTATGGATTTACAATTCATTTTGGTTTGAAGCTAATTGAACAAAGGTTACTAAACAAAAATGATACTATGTTTTGGTTTGGTTTGATTCAATTTAGATAAGATTTGTTTGACTCCGTCACTTTTCAAAATATATGAAAGTTTTATGGGAAAAGGTGTAAATAGGCCCACGTATTAACAAAAAACGGTCAAATAAGCCCTTATTTAGGAGGCTCTGTCCGGCTGTCGTCATTTGGGGTGGTTCCTGGTGGAATTTTTTGATGAAATTTTTTGAGCATCTTATTCATCAAGTCTAGTTTACTCATACCAAATTTCAGCTAAAACTTCAATCGGGAAGGCATTCAAATGAATTCTTGAAAATAATTGCGCAGTTAGAAGCGCAGTTATCTTTAAGAATTCATTTGAATGCCTTCCCGATTGAAATTTTAGCTGAAATTTGGTATGAGTAAACTAGACTTAATGAATAAGATGCACAAAAAATTTAATCAAAAAATTCCATCGGGAACCACCCCAAATGACGACGGCCGGACAGAGCCTCCTAAATAAGGGCTTATTTGAGCATTTTGGTTAGTACATGGGCCTATTTGCACCTTTTCCCAAGTTTTATTGATCTTCTTTATCCAGTTCGGTTTTGTTCAATTTATCATGGTTTTGGTTGGATTCAATTTGGTTTAATATGATTCGAAAGAAATAGTACCAATCAAAACAAATTGGATATGATTAAGTTTAAGTTCAGCTTGATTCGGTCAAGTGGAACAATCTATCCACTCATAGAAAAACATATCTTCCTATTTGAAATTTGATATTATTCCTTACTCATGTTTAAGACAATATCTACAAGGGTAACAACACACTTAACCAGGAAAAACAAAGAGTAATACTATTGTCCGAGTTTGACAGTCCCAATTTGATCTTTCAAATAAAAAATGACTTTGAACATTATTATATACAGATACATATTACTTTGTAATAGTCTAATAGAAACTTATAATAATTGAGTATCTTTAAATAAATACTACAATGTTATGACTACATTTTATTAAATAAAAATACAATTTATAATAATCAACGGTTCAACATAATAAAATTTAACTAAGACAAGATTAAATTATCAATTAGGTAAAAAAGAGTACCTACTATGGGAATATTTAGCAATTTAAGAAATTCATCACATTATATTTCAGTCCGCATTATTTTATTTTTCTACTAATAAAGAATTAAATATATTAACGGTTAAAGTGTTGATAAATGTGGAAATGGGAATGTTGAAACCGTGCGAAATATAACCATTGGAGATGTGTGATTAAAGTTCAACATTAGGATTATATTTTGTCTATAGTAATAAATGTGTAAATAGAAAGGTTCAAACCTTAGAAAATATGACCATCGGAGGTGTGTGTGCTTATTGTAAAGCTTTTAAATGTAGTTTCTGAATATTTAATATTTTTTCTAAAAATAATTTGAGTGCGAACATATATCCATTTATTTTATCGTCGATCAAACATCATAAATCGCAATGAGACAATAATAGGGGGACGGAGATAGTAATAATACTTATTCCCTACTCCCTTGTACATCTAGTAGTAATAGTAATAATAAGAACTAATTATATACTCCGTACTTCATATTTAAGTGTAATGATAATAATAATAGTATTAGTCAGAGTAATAGTAACCTATGCTTTATTCATACACTAGTGTGGACTGTGGATCTTTAGTCATATTTTTTTTAATAAGTTTTTTTTGTGAAATATATTTCAAAAAAAATCTCTAATAACAATAATAATAATAATAATAATAATAATAATAATAATAATAATAATAATAATAATAACACATAGAGCCCGTTTGGTGACTATATTTTTCGGCTTATTAACTTTATCAGCAATTTTTTCACCAAAAACTTAACTTTTGATTTTGCACTAAGTTATAATAATCACAATAAGTAAAGTTATAGTCACTTTTCTGTCTGAAATTACTCTAAAAGACTATTTTAGTTATTTTTCACATAAATTTTCTTAATTTTATTAATTAAATATATTTTAAATATAATTTTTTTTCATATTTTAGCATAATTAACCAAACCAGTTATAATAGTTGTATACCGCATCTAGTACAAGATCATAAGCTCAATTTTTATCTAGCCCCTCTTCAATCAAGCTATTTGCACAATGTTTTTGATGCAGTAACTTTTGCAGTTCGAGAGCTACTCCAGATTACATTGGAGCAGATTTTACCTTGTAGCTTTTCCCAGCTGCTTTTAACTTCTAAGTTCTAACCAATCATATGGATGTCCCTATAATTGCGCCATTGGAATCTAAGTACTAAATCTCGAACACCTTCAGATACAAAATACTACGTACAATTTATGAAACGCGGATTTCGAACTACATCATTTGCCTCTCTGAGAATACACGTCTCAATTTCCCTGCTTGCCAGCCCACGCTGCTTTCATCTTGTCACACAGAGAACTTTTCTGAATGATTAATACATATAATTAATAACAAAATCCAATTAGAGTTCGCTTGAAACTCGCAAAATATTAACAAAAGAAATTATAGATGAAAATAAGGAGGATATTTGAAAGGGAAAAGTTTTGGGGAAAAATAAAAGATAACCTCAAGCTTAATTCAGAACTCATTTTACTTAATTATTACTTAGTTCTATATGATAAAGACGGGAAATCTGAAAAATGTAAAGTAATTAAAAAGTTAAATTTATTTCAGTTTTACTTGGGCATTTTCAATGTTAAATCAAATTAAGAAGAGAATTTTCCTTCCCTAGCATTTTGTGTTATCACTATGACACATCACAAGTTGAGAAATAAACAGCACAAAAAACAACAACTAAAGATATCCCACAAAAGTTCTCAAGTTTGTACCAGAAAGTAGTTCAAATGGGACAAAAATTTTAATAAGAAAAATAGCATATCTAATATGTTGCACATTCACACTGTTGAAACTGTAGTATCGAGACATATTGCTGAAATTAGAATTTGGAGACATGAGTGTTGAAATAGTTTGAGTGGCAAAGAATAACTAACCCCAAATCTGGCGCAAGGTGAATGCCACCTGCATAACAGATCTTCTATCTGCGACACTAGAAAATTCCATATTTACTACTTGTTGAAATGCAGTCAAGAGTTCGCGCTTTGTTTTTACAGAAAGAATTATGTAATCTGGGCCGTGAGTGGTGCACAGTTCTGCCACCTAAGTTGAAGAGAAAATAGAGAGCGATTTAGTCCTAAATACTCACTCCCACACAACGTACACATCCATCAAATAATGAATGAAAAACACCTACTCCGTACTAAGTATAGAAGATTCCAAACAATAATAATAATTAATACGAAGTATTATTTTAAGTTAACAATTTATCATAACCTTTAGTTACAATCTTTGTAATTAATATTGTAATTATTATTATAGGCTCCTAGTCATTGTATAAATAGTGGTACAAACCAGAGCATGCATCAAGCATATTAGCTCTAAGGGGTAAAGAAAATAAGAGTCTACATTTTGAAACACGCAAAAAAATTGAATGGAGAGAAAACAGTAGGGAAAGTAATTAATAGTGTTGAAAAAGTATGAAATAGAGAACAAAACAGTAGAAAAAGTAGGGGGGGATATGAAAGAGTAAGTAGAAGTTGACAAAAAAAACGGAAATGGGACACAACAAAAAACATCCCGAAAAGATAAGGGCACCAATAGAAAATTGGAGGGAGCATTTAAACAGAAAAATCCATAAAGTTGGTAAAAAGCTAACCTGTTGAAGCCAAGGAAGAATGGAGTTCACAAACCTTTGTTCCAAGAAATATGATGCAATAATTTTCAAAAGATCACTAGCAGTCTTTTGTGATATGTTTTCAAGAACAGGACCTGTTCTGTCAAGCAGCTGAAACAAAATAAGTTCATTCCCTGAACACAGTGCCTCCAAATAAGCAGAATCCAGATCTCCGTTCAGCAAATGCCCTTTCACAACTCTCCATATTGCACTCTCAATCTCTATGCTATTTTGTTTGTCAGTTTTCCTAGTTTGACAACTACGGGCTCCACTTGCAGAGCTTCGGTGAGTAGTGCTACTTTCAAGAGGATTTTTATTTTGTTTTGCTGCTGCATCCATAGATATATCCGGACTTTGTTTAGTAAAACCACTTGGTCTGTGACACAAATCAACAGATGGCCTAGGAGTGTATGTTGAGAAACGAGGAGAAGCAACAACAGGAGTTCTTCTATTAAGCTTTGTTGTCACTGGATCAGAACACTTCATACCATAAGCAAGTTCTTGTGCCATTCTATCAACTTTGTCCTCAAGGCCAGAGACCTTCATCTGTACCAATGAAAGAGTATCTACTATGTTTGCAGTGACTTCCTAAACATTGTATGCACAGTATAGATATTAGTATCAGCAATTGCAAGAACTATGAAAGTTCTGCATAAAAAGAATGTCAAAGTTTTTAAATGCCAAATTCCTCTGGAAAAGCTATGTGAAAATTATATAGGAATCAAACTAGGTATAACATGAAACTTACAAAAGAAAGGATTTCAAGTTTTGCTGTGTTATCCAAGTATCTAAAAAAGAACTATTATAAAACATTACATTCCTTGCAGACAGACTACCGAGTTTGGTGATCCTCTCTTCTGCGGTTCTGCCATTGAAGTTAGCCAAACACTAATGTTGCATGAATTTCTTAAGCTCACTTAGAGGATACCAAAGTGAAGGAAAATAAGGATGTTTTCTTTTGAACTGAAATTTGCTGGTCTGGTTTGTTTAAGTGAGGTCTGGTCTGGTAAATGTCTTGTCTCTGTGTATTTTAAATTGTCCAAGTCTGGTCTGGTCTGGTCTGTTTAATCCTGGTCTGGTCTAGTCTGTTTAAGTAAGCCTGGTCTAGTCTGAGACTGAAAACCGTCCAAAAGAAAACATCCCAAGAAATTCAAACAAGAATCCAATAAGGCACTAGATGAAATACAAACAGAATGAATTTCAAGTTTGATTTTGTCTTGCTAGTATCCCAAAGCGATAAGAAACATATTCCTTGAAGATGTAAAAAACAATATGTGTTGAATTTGATAATTTTTTGCGAAAGACAAATGTTACATAGGTTTCCTATGCTCATCTATGCTCTTTGTGGTTTCAGTTAAGGGAAGTTGGTAAAGTTAGAATTTCTGAAACAACAAAAACTCTTGAACTCACAAATGAAGTTCATTGGAAACCAACACAAAAGAAAATAAAAAACATAAAGACACTACCCAGCAATGCTCTAATAATGTGCTCCGCTCCATGCATGAACTTACTGTAAAATGCATATTATCACAATTAAAGAATAGCCACATACCCGGTGGCGGTAGTCCAGTCAGCTATCTATTGTTGTTCATGTAAAAAAAATCAAGGCATTTATCCAAAAAAAAGAATAATCAAGGCTTCCTCCACTGGTCACATCTAGAATTCTATAAGTAAGAACTTATGATAACTTTCACCAACAGAAGTACAATAATGGAAGAGTCAAATGGTATATGACATATTGCCATGATTTAATAAAATTATGATAATCCGTATTATTAAAGATTGCTAACCAGATTGGAGCTTGAGAAATACCTTTAACAAATCTGCAAAATTAGCCTGAGTGTCTTGAATAATTAAGAGCTGCTTCCGAATGGATTTCATTTCTTCTGCAATGCTTGGGTAACATCCATGCATTGAGTTAGAGATTGATTCAGTAATTATGGAATCTAAGCTTCTCCGGTCCTGCACCTTAGACAAGTTCCTTTGTTCTTCCAAAGTCATTACCCCACCAGTACACTGCTCATTAGTTATTGTGGATGTATCCATACTAACCTCATCAAGAACATCATGAGAAACTGTCACAATCTTGGCATGAAAATTATCAGGAAAAGTATTTGACAAAGAGCAATCTTGCTTGTCATCTATGTGTACAGATTCATATTCAACGTCATGGGAACATATAACATCAGATCCCCTTTCAATAGTCTTTGTGACAGAGCTGCGATCTGGCTCTGCATTTTGAGCCTCTGATGTAAATATGTTATTATGCCTTCTAGGGAGAGCAATTTCCATATGCCAGTCATTTGCACTAGAGTACTGAACCTTTTCAGCATTATTTTGGCCAGACTTTCTGGAATAATGAGAAAGTCTGCTTTTGAAAACATGGGCAAATCCTTTAGGAGTGGCATCCTTTGACACCGAATCACTTGTGCTAGTGGCATCGCCAATATCATCCTTATAGATATTTTCTGCAAGGTGCAGAACACCATTTGAGCAGAAAAAGCAAGACCAATGATTACTACTAAGTAGGCACAAAATAGAAAATGTTAAAGAGAGCAAGTTATAGACCATGTAGATGACTAAATATGACATTCAAGTCCAAATAACATACTTCCACCATCGCACTCTACTACTTCTCCAGTTTACTATTCATGTGGTCAACATGATTTCTTTTTGTTCTCTGGTTTTGAGTATCAGCTTTTTATTATCGAAAGTCAGATTTTGCTCTTACATAGAACTTTTGTGTAGTTTCTTAATATCTAAATTTAACTATTAACACTAATTCAAATACTGTCAGGGAGGAATTGACTTTGTCATCTGTCAACATGCAGAAACCGTGATCAGTAATGCTGAGTGGGAGGGAGGGAGTATGATTTAACAGAGATTCAGAGCCCATCTGGTGTGGGATATTTGGCTGAATCTGCTAAAATTTCAAAAATGAAAAACATCTGGTAATATCCATTTGATTTTTAGCAAGATAAATAAGTCAAAAGCTGTTTATTCTGAATTTCTAGTTCTTCTGTTTATTTAGCCAAAAGAAGAATAAGTAACTTTGTAAATTGAACAGGCTCTTAACATCTTTAAATTTTTGGGTTTCAGACTGTTAGGCTTCAAAATGTTTTTTTAAATGAAACATAGAAAGTTCCAAACCTTTGAGAGAAGAACTAGTTTCTGAAGGTTCATGTGTATCGGGCCCTGGAAGACTCTTCCAGAGATGCAAGGCTTGCAATGCTGTGTCCCTGACCGGTTTGACCTGGGGAAAAAATGAAAATAAATCTAGAAGGTCCAACTTCATATTCACAAAATGGAAGGTTTAGCTTTCAAATGGACCAACTGCTAAACTGCACAGAGCACTCGCCTTGTCAAATCGGCATGCTTCAAGAGAACGGATGCAAGAAGTTTTAAAAGAGCGAAAACCTGTTCCACCACTAGAAGCTATTTCCCCTAATGCAGCACTAGCAGATTTCCTTGTTGCCCAATCACTGTTCTTGAGTGCGTCTTGTATGCTCATAATAGCAGTAGACAAAACATTAAGGGAAGGAGCACCACCGGCCTGGAAAACATGGAGAAAGGAAAAGGAAGCAATTAGCTATGCTACATTATTAGAAGACCAATTTACTTGAGCACGAATAATTTAATCCGCTTTTAGCATTTTTGTATCATTATTGTAAAAGAGAAGTATTTGACTGTACTTCCTAAAAAGTGTTTGTTCAAGAAGAACAACAGCTTACTTGAATGATACTTCTATTCAATTCAATGACAGCAGGCTTTGCCATGAAGTGTGGATTTTTTAGCAACTTAACAGTCCTAGCTAACATTTTCTGCAAAACCGATGTTGATGGATTCTGGATATTGTCTATGACCCTCGCCAAACATAGTGCAGAACCAGATTGCACTTGTTTATTTTGCTCTCCCAAAGCCTCAAAAAGAGGCCTGACCAAGACAACAAAAAATCCATCATGTTCACTATCACCCCCAACATGACCGAGTTTAGCAGCCAAAATCCCAACTGTCTCCACGCAAGCATCTCTCACAACAGAATCTGAATCCTTCAGCCTTTTAACAATGCTGGCTACAACCTTTGTGAGATGTGGGCCCACAAGGTTATCATGGAGACTGGTGAGGGTGCCCATTAATCGAACACATTCCTTACGAACTGCACTTTTCTGTTCTGAATCTGTATCTAATATACAAGACAGAAATGGAGCGATCCCATTTGGAGGTAAACATTCAATAATTTTCTCAAGTTCCTCCACTGCAACTTGATATGTATCCCTATCAGCGAGCTTGTTCAGTGCAATAACCACCCGCTGCTTAAGTTCAAAAGCAGCCTGTTGGCTGCTCATTCTTGTGTTTCCTTTCCCTTTCATCATATATTTCATGTCTAGATATCTCAGTTTATTCACGGTTATATCCTGCACAATCATAACCCATCGGCTCACAGCAATACATCAAAATTGAACTACATTCAAGCACATCAATATAAGCACCATACTCCGTACTAGGTTTGTTTAACGAAAGACTTCTCAGTTTTGCAAGCATTAAAATACAAAAGTAGATACTCCACGTGAAGCAATTTTGAAAAGCTCATTAGAATATATACCTCCAACTTCAAAGCTTCAAATGCCTTTTTTATTTAAAAAAAAGTAGCACCGGAAAGTAAACTACAAATAAAGGAAACGACAAGCGCAGAAGAACACAATGGATAAATACCTTATGGTTTCAACTTCTATTAATGTGACCTGTGGAAGAAATGAAAGCAAATCCAAGTATAAAAAACGAAATCATAATCGAAAACTTGAATAACGTATGCACCAGAGAAAGTGAGTAGAATAGTCTAAGATCAGAGAAACAAACAAAAAGACGTGAGGAAGAAGTAGTCATAGTCTGCGGAAGGAGAATTGAAGGATAAGCATCTTCGATTTCGGGTGAGAAAAAGGAAGAAATCGACAATATTGAAAATGATGCCGAGCACAGTAACTCCTAGGACCTGACAACAAATTTTGAAATTCTTCAAGTAGAAAGAAAGAAGTTACCGAGTTTAGCCCGTAATGAACAAGCATGGTAAATAATCGGAGAAAGGTATTTTTACAGCTTCAAATTCCTCCATACCTGAGAGATGCTCGGTGAATATTATGGAGCAGTTCAGTGGAAGGAGGGAGGAGTAGAGGGCGAGCGGTGATGAAGGGGTGGGTACGAGGGGGTGGGGTGGGGGTATGTGTTAGTTTTGGCGGTCGGGGGTCGTGTTTCAAATTCGGAAACGTGGGACCTATCTCAGATGCACTCCGAATGGAGACTTGCCACCTTTCAAAGTTTCAAGTCAAGCCCTCCTACGAACAACTGGTCTACTGCTATAGTACACTGTATTTCTCCTTGCATTTTAATTCTGTGTCGAGGATTGTAAAGTCGAGTTGTTTGAATAACACTACTCTTTATTAAAAAGTGTCAAAACAGTGCGAAATTATATCAAAAAGTGTATTCTTCGATAAAATTTACCTTTTAATAAATTTATTTCCCTAATATGTGAAGTCAAATCGGGACTTTATTAAGGGACGGAGGTAGTACATTAGATTTCAAATAGTGTCAAAACAGTGCAAATCTGTGTTAAACAGTGTCGAATAACGTCAAAACAATGTATTCTACCGTAAAATTTACCTTTTCATAAATATATTTCCTCAATGTGTGTGAAGTCAAACCAGGACTTTAATCAAGGGACGGGGGTAGTGCATTAGATTCTAAAGTTTATATATCATCTCATACGAGAAATTATTCGTAACTTGAATATTAAGGTGTAAAAGTAAAGGTGTAATTCGAGTGTAACTAGTATGCTAAACGTTTTTAAATTTTTGAAATAATTTTTAAAAAATTTCAAAACATTTTTACACCTTTTTAGTGTGAGCTGTCAAGGTGTAAATTCTTTACTCAAAATATTAGTGTAAAATATTCAGGTGTGAATGTGTATTATTTGAATGTTGAATCCCTATGAAAATTACATTAGTAATTATTCATTTTCATCATTCTCTTGGGGAACAAACTTAGGTTTACGCACACAAAACAAGGAAATCAAACTAGGAACTTGATTGTACAGTGGTGGGAGTATTTTATTACATTTCACAAATTTATAAATTATACATATTCTTTTTCTACCTTAAAATTTTATCAAATTTCTTTACTTAGCCATCAGGAAAAAAAACTTTATCATTCCGTTTAAAGTAATAAATATGTGATTACAATTATTTTTGGGAAAGTTCCCGAAATAGGACTAAAACAGTTTGAAAATTCCAAAATAGGACTGTCATGTTTTTTATTCCCAAAATAAGAGTAATTACTGCCAAGTTTGGAAAATACTGCCATGTTTGAAGTCTGGTACTGCCAAAACATGGCAGTAATTAGTCCTATTTTTGAAATAAAAACATGTCAGTTCTATTTTGGAATTTCCAAACCTTTTTAGTCCTATTTTGGGTAAATTTTTCTCTCTTCTAATTATATTTACCACATAATTTCAGAAAAAATCTTGGTGTACACAAATTGTACACATTCCCCGTAAGTCACAAGCAATTCATTTGAAAAAGGTCAGGATTTGGGCCAAAATGCCTTTGTACACGGACAACTACGGGAATTGTGTACAATTTGTGTACAAATTTAATTTTGTGTACAATAAAAATTACTCTATATTTTATTTCATTATTCCATTTGCAAAACAAGAGAGGGAAGAATATATTTATATGAACTCGGTCCTCAGGTATTTTTAATATAGTTGGTCCTTGTTTTTAATCGCTTAAAAGTTACTCCCTCTGTCCCCCTATAATTGTCCTATTTTTTTCATTTTGGATGTCCCCTTATTATTCTTTCATATCATATTTGGTAGCATTTGTGTGGCTCTAACAATTATCAATCACATAATTCTACTTTTCAAAACCACAACACTACCTTCCGTCCCAATATTAGGAGGACGGAGGTAGTAGAACACAAATGGTATTTGAGAATTATTAAACCATACCGCTATAAAACAGCAATTGAATTAGATCAATTTGGCCTTTTCAGTTTGGTGGATGTCAATATTGGGGTTTTGGGTTGGGTCATCACACATTCCCACCCCTACGGCTACACAATCTACATACATGTGATATGTATATAGCGTTCTTACTAAAAATATAATATAATACATTCTACGATCTACATTTTTATTTTCTGGCAATCTGCCATTTTTTACTACTCAACAATTGAATAGCTTGTCCATCAAAAAAAAAACAATTGAATAGCTTGTAGTGTAGTAGTCTACATGTAACGACAAGTCTAAATTAATTAATCCGTTGAAATAGCCAATATTGATAGAGAATGTTCAACAAAGTTTGTGTATTAATGATATTGTAAAAACAAGTGTGTATACACACACACATTATAGGTATATATATTTATAAAATCTATAATAATTTCATGTTTCAATAATACCTATATTAAAGTAAAGTACTCAAAAATATTTGTGTTATGACGAAACATATTATTTGAATAATTAACGATCAAAATTAACAAAATTTGACTCAAAATGTCTCATTGTCTTGTGTAATGAATGGAGTACAAAAGAAGCTCTTTCTTCTAATTTGTACGTATTAAGTTCAATTCACCTATACAATTGTTAATAAAACTAATTCATTGATAACAAATACATCCGTTCTTAAATAAGTGAAACATATTGAATGTTACACTATTCACATGTTTTATTTTAATTACATTTTATTTATTAATTTTTTAATGATTTTGTATAATAAAAAAAAATATTGATAAATTAGCCTCATCCTAAATTTTCAAAATATGAATTTTCTAATTTTTTAATTACAAGGAATTAAATATATATACTAATGATCAAAGTTTTGCATGAATTAATCGGTTGAAATAGCCAATATTGATAAAGAATGTTCAACAATGTATGTATTAATGGTAATATGGTATTGTGAAAATAAGTGCATACGTATATACATATACATTATAGGTATATATATTATAAATTCTATAATAAATTCATGTATCAATAATTCCTATATTAAAATGAAGTACTCGAAAATATTTTAGTGTTGTGACGTAAAATATTATTTGAATATTTAACGATAAAATTTAACAAATTTTGACTCAAAATGTGTGTTGTGTGATGAATGGAGTACAAAAGAAGTTTTTTCTTCTAAATTGTGCATTTTAACATACTCCGTATAACGGTATAAGTTACTACTTACTCCGTATTACATAACAAATATAACAACATTTGTTCTAATAGTCTTTACCCATTACGTACAAGTGGTACAACTCACCTATACGATTTTTAATAAAACTAATCCCTTGATAACAATACACTACATTTGTTCTTAAATAAGTGCAATATATTGAATTTTGCATTATTCACATGTTCTATTTTGAGTCTTTGACTACATTTTATAAAAATATTAATAAATTTGTCCCATCCTAAATTTTCAAAATCTGAATTTTCAAATTTTTCAATAACAGGGAACTAAATATACTAATGATCAAATTTTTGCATTGACAAACGTGAAAAGTTAACTGTTGCACTTATTTAAGAACAGAAGAAGTAAAAACTAATACTCCGTATTAAAATTGATAATTAAAATTTACATATTACAAAGTTCAACTTTAATATAAGTTTTATTTTAGCAAAAAAAAGAATAAAAACAAACAATATGAATACATACAATGTTTTTCGGAGCCGAGTTAATACAACAATTTAAGAAAATTGTTTTCTTCATTTACAACACCAGAGACACCTAGAGTAGTGTACTTATCTATTTTGAGCGTCAGATTTAGAGATTGCAAACAAAGCATGAAAAAGTACGGGAAAACTTTAGAACATCGAAATATCAACCCTAATAGACGAATGACATAATGAAATAGCAATAATATTAACAAGCACATTAATACACTTCATTGATGTAATTGACCACATCTTGACCTCAATTCTCAAGTTGCCCTAGTATAAATTTACCAAAAGTTGGAAATAGCTAGCTGGAGCGAAGTGCCAAATACTTGTTGTGATGTAGACCAATATAGTCTAACTTAATAACCAAGGTGTAATATAAGTTTAACTAACTTACTGCCCAAACTAGCAAACGTCCGACCGAGAATACGAACGCAAGTCAGATGACATGTTTTCCTCTATTACATTCACTCAGCTGCTCCAAACCTTCCAAAAGTTGAAGTGCATTATGCTACGATGCAACCCTACAGAAAGGCCCCCCTTTTGTTCTCCACAGAAATGGTCAAAAGATTTAGGTGACTGATTGAAGGTAACTGAAATCAGTGACCATCTTCATCCATTGGTTCACTTCTGCTAGCGTGAGAAGCCAAATCCCCATCTTTCATGGCATTGCTGGGTTGCAATGTTCCAGAAACAGAATCTTCCAGTGCCTCGAGGAAGGACGGAACTGTGAAGTTGTCTGCAACAAGTAATGGGTTACACCGATGCATCTAAGTGACAACCATCAATTAATGTTATAGAAAAGAAATTACATTGACTGGGATCAATTCCAAATTGAGATAGATCAACTTGTCCGGTCCGAAGCACCTATAATAATATAGATAAAAATTAGTTCCTCTATTCAATAAGTCCCTTTGTTCGACCTATGAGCCAGAATTACATCTAAGTTATTTCATTGCACCTGCTTAATCGACTGGTAATGAAAAACACCACAAAAGGTACTTTTTTTTTTGCTACAATGGCTAATTAATGGAAATGACATTTATAAATTATATACTCCCTCCGTTACAAAATAAAATCTTCCTGGTTTGAGTTGTCACGCTTATTAAGAAACTGGGAATAAAGTGGAAATGTAAGGTTGTGGTTGAGTAAGAAAAAAGTAAATGAATGTTAGTCACACAAATCTTTCCATAAAGGCAAATGGGGAGAATTTTTTTCATCTCAAAATGGTAAGTGGGGAGATTTTTTACAACGGATGTAGTATTAGTTTCATGAAAATATTTCTAAATTTTATTTATGGTAAGTTGACAGCTCTTAATAGGTTGTTTAAATTAAAAGCATTGGTTTTAACATTTTAAGACCATTTTATCTTCAATAATAAAATAAACAAACTAAACACCTAATCTACCCTCATTTAATTTTGGGAAAATTGTCAAATTGGCCCTCGAAGTATACCGAAAAAGTCAATTAGGCCCCCTGACAATATAAACACCCAAATAAAATCCATGAACTATATAAAATTGATCAAATTTCTAATTTAGCCAGTTGCTTCTTGGTTTGTCGGTGAAACAACTAACGTGGCATTCCAGCTGGCGTTTTTTTTAATATTTTTCCTTTTTTGTTTGTTTCTTTTCTTTTTTACTTTCTTTTTTCCCATCTTCTTTCTTCTTCACGACAACCGAACGGGCTCCGCTTTCTTTTTTCATCTTTTTCAACCCCCGTCCCTCCATGTCCCCGTCCCCTTTTTCTTTTTCTTCTTCTTCTTCTTCTTCTTCTTCTTCTTCTTCTTCTTCTTCTTCTTCTTCTTCTTCTTCTTCTTCAGACCCCCACCCCATCTTCGGTCTTTCTTTCCAGTCCATCCCGCAACACCCCCATCCCCTCCCTTCTTCTTCATCCTGCCACACTCTCCCAAGCCCCTTGTTTCTTCTTCTTTAGGTGGCCGGAGCAGTCCTAATCCGCCGCCGGTGCCAAATCGCCAATAAAGCTCAAAAGTGGGTAAACCGGGTGGGAGAAAGAGCTCCAAGCTTGGTGGTCGTGTAATAGATGCTGTCGTCACTCGCCAACGAATTATACTGAAGATGAAGGCCGGCGGCAACAACGTCGCTGGAGGATGCTAAAGAGCACTGCTGCCCATACTGCACTCGCCATCTCCTGTTTTACAATCCCTTTATCACCGGCATTTCTCAATTAGAAAAAGAAGAAGAACAAAGGACAGATTGGGGAAGAAGAAAAAAGAATGGGGAAGGACTGGTGCAGTGCGAAGAAGGGAGGGGAGAAAGAAGTTGAAGATGCGTACGGTGCAGGGAGAAAGAAAGATGGAGGTGGGGCAAAAAATAAAGATAGGGGAGGTAGGAAAAAGAGGTAGGAAAAATAGTAGGGGAAAAAGAGGAAAAAGGAAGGAAAGAAAGAAAAAAGGAAAAGATAAAAATAAAAGGAAAAAATTGACATGTGGACTGCCACATCAGCGGTGTCACAGGTTAACCGGGTAGAATATAAATTTGATCAGTTTTGTATAGTTCATAGACTTAATTGGGTGTTTATATATTTGGAGAGCTTAATTGACTTTTTAGGTATACTTCGAGGACCGATTTGACAGTTTTTCCCTTTACTTTTTAATGTTGTTGCATAACTTTTCAGGTGGTGGCAGGCAGCAGTGGACCCTGGTAGATGTGAAGGGCTCTATTAAGAATGGGCAGTTTTGTAATTGATCTTTTAATTTAATACTCGAATAAAATAGAATAAAAAGGTTATGCAATTGATTTACAAAACTAATGCTACTAACTCTTACAGGAGTGATTAAATGTAATGTATGTCCATTTTTTCTTTAATTAATACACTTGTTAACATATTTTTGGATAATCCCCTAAACATTTGGCCACAAAGTTAGCAAAGTAACCAGATCCTGCCACTTCAGGCCCTACCAAACAGCCTCTTGGCCACAAATTTATTGGGCAGTTTGCCTGAAAAAGGTTGAATCCGAATCTACTGAATTTTGTAAAACCATTTTGTAACATTAATTTCATGCAAACAAATACATATTCACCTGATAAGCAGAACAATAACATTATTCATTGTCTCCTGAACTGTACTTAAACAAAGAACATGATACGAAGATTCTAGAAAACTCACGTAAGTAAATGAATCTACTTGTTGACGAAATGGGGGGCTCTGCAATAACTCCAGGAAGTCCTCACGATTCCATTGGCCCTGCAAGTGGACAAACACTTTTAAGGACAGAAGAAAAATAATTAAAAGAATTTGATGATTCAGAAAAAGCAAAAGTGCATGCCATGTTGTTGACCTCAGGTAAATACGTAGCAAGTTGTTGTTGCAGTGGTATGTCTTCAATCAACGGTAGTACAAACTCTGGCCTCAAAATATCTGCTAACCCCAAGCCTGCAAACAAAATTAAAGATCTTCAAGTTAGTGACTACTGACTAGCAACTAATTATTCTTATTAGGCCTAATGTCTTGTACATAACAAACTAACAATCAAGCTCTTACCAGCATCTGGATCTACAGCGTCATCTGTATCAATGCACAAAAGTGATCACTTTACTATAAATAACAGAGAAAACATAATACAACACAAGCAAACAGAACCTGATGATCCTATGTTACTTAGTATCCTCTGTAAATCAGCCAACTTTACAGGTCCAGAAGAAGTTACTTCACTGGTTGCTTCGGTGCCCATGCTTGGGCCAACCAAATTTCCTGCTCTGAAAATGATTAAGGCATACATATGGATGTGTCAGAATCAGTTTTGTAGAACAGGGAGAAATTAAGGCACAAAAACTAGAAAATAGTAATAGAAAGCACAAACTCTAAGAGAAAATTCAATCATGACTACAACGAGTCTCTAAGATATTATTTGGAGAATCTTTGGAGTTCATAGATATTATTTTCTAGACAAGTCGCAAATAGGGATTTGAGAATCATTGAAGATCTTAGATAATATTTTCTGATTGCAAACTTTGAATTATTTTTTTCTTTTCTCTAGTTGTTTGTTTATTTTATTTCCCGAATACTTAAGCCTATTTAACGGCCAGTTGAATAGAGGGGAAAGTATGCAAGTTTTGACCACGAAAATTCTCAGGAATTTCATGGAATTCTCAATAAAAAAAATTCCAACTTATTGTGTTAAAATTTGCATAATTATATTCTGCCCAGTTTTCTCCCCAAACAGTAAACATAGCCAAACCTTCTAAACATCAATCTACCCCCTTCCCACTCGCCCCAAGGCCCGAAAGGCCGTGATGAGATCTTGCACAGAAGCTGCCAGTAACACTCTACCTTTTCAAATATGACGCATCATTTTCCTGGTTTGTAGACTTAGGATGTTTTCAAACCTAGTTTGAACTGATCTGATTTGATCTAGTTTATTCAAACCTATTTTGGTACACTGGTATGGTCCGGTAAGGGTATTATGGGTATGTCACTACACCCTCTATCCTGCTAAGATTGTCCCATTTTTTCTATTTGATTCATCCCACTAAGACTATATGATACCAAATTTGGTAATGTATCATTATTACTTTATTCTTACTTTATGAATTTAATATCAATCATGTGGATTCACTTTTCTTAATAACCACATCACCTCCTCATGTACCAAACATAGGAGGACAGAGGTAGTGTTGTCTAAGTCTCCGCTATGGTTTGTTTATATATGGTCAAGTCTGGTCCGGTCCAGTGTAGTCTCAGGATGTTTTTACTTGGATTTATTTCAATTCCAGACCAAATTTAAACATACCAGAGTACCAGGCCAGCCTTAACCAGACCAAACAAACCAAACTTAAATAGACCAGACCAGACACAACTTAAATAGACAAGACCAAACTAGATCGAAAAAATTCAATCCAATTAAAAATATCCTAAGACTGAAATCAGTCCAAGTGAAAACATCCTTAGTATATAGGAGTATTAGATAATAATAATTATTATTATTATTATTATTATTATTAAAAATTGACCCCATAGTAGTCACGGCGCACGGCGACCGCCATGGCGCGGGGGTAATTTCACGCGGCGATGGCGATGGCGCTAAAATGGCGCTATAATGGCGCTCCAGTAAAGCACAACATCAAAAAAGTTTAAACATAACCTATAGACGATATATGCGTATGACTTAATCACCAATTAAAGATTTAAATTGTTAAATAACCAAAATAATATAAAAAATAATCCACTGTTAAAAAATTGTTAAGTTGTCAAATTAAATAACTTATATGGTCTAACGAACCATCCAGCCAACTGGCGCACAAAAAATGAGAGGAAGTGAGAAACAGAGAACGAATTTTAACTTTACCAAAAAAAGAAAGGTTTTAGCGAAGAAGTAAAACTGCGAAGCAAGGAGTCTGCGACTCTGCGTCCATGACATGCGATTACCGTCGCCGACCAGTTTCAGCAAGAATCGACGGCCACGCGACCAGCTACAGAGACGATGACGGTGACGCGACCAGCTACATAGACGACAACAGCGACCAGCTACAGTGACTGCGACTATCTCACGGAAGTCGCGACCCAAACGATGGGGCTCTACTGTAACGCGATCCAGAACACAGATTAACGCCAATATTTGGCGCAAAATGGCAAGAGCGAGGCGATGGCGCACATTTGGCAACGCAACCTGTAACATGTGCGCAATGGCCAAAAATAGTGGCGAGGACCCCCAGAATCGCCAAAGGCGAGAAATGGCGATCGCCAACTGCGCCATTGACTACTATGATTGACCCCACTATAGTATATACCTAAAGGTTCTCAATTCTATTTTAGGAAATAATTAGCACCTTTAAATGACAATTTAATCATCAAATATTAAAAATGACCTCACTATATTATATACCCATCAAAACTATTTCTCAAAATATACTAGATGTACCTTATTTAGTTATTTTTTAAATAACCGTGACATTTTGAAATGGGAACCTTAAGGCGGGACAGAGGTAGTACATTTTACTACCCACCAAACACATTGAAAGTGAAAAAATGAACCATCTGAGTGCCAAACAACCACTTATCCTTGGTTAGAAAAGGAATAACAAACAGTTTTAACTTTATAATCCCATTAAATCACACACTGACACTAGCCCAAGAGCCCATTATCTCAGATCACACATCGGCCAAGATGGGGAAAACAAGAAGCATATTTGATGGAAGAGGAACCGGCACTCCTGTGAACGGGTGTATGGACTAACCGATTAAGGGGGTGATTGTTGGGTTTTAATCGGTCATGGGACACGTATGGGTGGCTGGAGTTTTAAATTTGTTTTAAGTTTTAATTAATTTAAATAGTTAAAATTGGTATTAGTGGAGTAGTGGCAATTTCATGTTCTTAGTAGGTAGTTAGGAAGTGGAGTAGTGGACTAGCTTAGTTAACTACCTAGTGCCTCCTATTTATACTTGCATTTGTCCTTTGCATTTGTTCTAATTTCAATGAAGTAGAGTTGTTTTTCATTCATATTTATGAAGTATTAAAACATCCAATTTTCCTTTTGCACATAAAGTGTTCGATTGATTTTCCATAGTGAGATTATTTCTTCTATCTTTATTTTTTTTAGTTTAGTTAAATCCTAGATAGTTTGACAACATTACACCAGCCGAAGAGTCCATTATCTCAGACCATTCTCTCAACCTTCAACTTTTAGTTTATGTACATTTACTACAACTTCAGTTCATAATTTCCAAGTTACATGATCATGAAAGTAACAATGTCCCCATTTCTATGCCTGAAGTAACACATTGAAGCATTTTTTTAACAAGTCCACACAATGCATACTTATATAAAATATCAAATAATTTACCTAATAAAATGTGACTCCATCTATAACATTATCAACTAGACTGGGTAAACAAAAACAAATTCATTTCAGAAGGCAGCTGCGGCTAAAAGATATTTACTAGAATGTAGCCAAATACCCTTGCAGAAAAGCATAATGTAAATGAAGATATATATAACTTACCTAGATGAAATGTCTTCTTCAACCACATCATAAGTATTTTCAGGCTCTTCTTCACCAGGAAACTCTGTTGAAATGAGTTCCATAAATTGATAGATCCATGTGTATTACTATATTAGTGGTTATAAACTGTGCTAGCATAGAAATCAAGAAAATACTGATACACCAGATGAAATAAGCTATTGGCTAGGTTGTACAGCATATATATTACTTACAATCATCTAAATGAACTTAATGAATAGAATTCATGCAACAAACAAAATTTGAAGATTTAGGAAGATATTATTTCTACCTAGTGGTTGATTTAGGTAGAAGTTAACTGAGCTGCATAATTGTGAATCATTGTCGTCTTTTGGCTCCTGCAATTAATGCAAATAACAAACTATCTAAGTAATGCCACATGCAAATATGTGTGTAGTACACTTGCCAAAAACCAGACCTGCATCCAGTAGAAAAACTTTCGATCATCTGTATGAAATTTCAAAATGTAAACCCTCGCGGATGATTGATTAACCTGAACAGCTCAGAAACAAAGATGTCCAAGTATGTTAATTCTAAACATGATTTACTTGTGTAAAACTACTATACTCATGACTCGCCTATTACCTTTTCAAAGACTGCTTCCTCTGGAAGAACAATCTGATCCTAATGTTTGTTTTGGTCAAGGAATAATCTTCCAAGACTACTCAGTAAGAAGTGAACAGGAAATTGGTTGTCTTTGGAGAAACTAGAAAGATTTATGATCTTATGGAGTATAGACACATTCTTTACTTCAACATATGATTGTTAAAGGATGAAGGATACATCTTCGACAATCAAACTTGAACGGTCCAACCATTGGAAATGGACAAGTCCTTCCACACCCTAACATAAAAAAAGAGACATAGGAAACATCAGAATACAGAGGATGATATGATTTTTCATGAAGTAGCATTTACCTTGAAAAGATCAATGGAAGTTTAGATGCATGTAGAAATTAAAACGGTGAATGCAAAAAAAAAAAACTTAAAATCCAATACCCTGCCTATACGAACAAGTCCTTTCCGTGAATCAGGGACAACTTGCTTTCCTTCCATAAGCATTTTTCCTGCTCGAAATTCAAGCAATATCTCCTGCACCATGGAATAGAAAAGAATCTCATCTTTATCAAAATCGATTGTGGTTCGTCTATGCAAGGTTCTCAGTAGATTTTATGATTAGTACTAATGAAAAGAAAAGATATCAGAAGCATGTACTGACTACTAATGCAATGTAGAAAGAGAGTAAGTTTTACTTCATGGTTTAGAAGAGTAGTTAAGAGGAAGTGCATTTACTTCCTAAAACTAAAACAGCATTTGAGGTTACTCATTTTTCATAGAATATGTGCTTTTAGAGATTGGGGGAGGATGGCAATATGGCACTTGTAATCCAACAATATGTGTTTAGCAAAGAATAGGAAAAAGCTCTTTCAATCTTGAAAAGACACTTTTGTACTTAATTAAGAAAACATCAATCCAGTGCTTTTAGAGAGAGAGAAAAACATTTCGTAATGAGAAAACACTTTCTAAAAAAGAACTTATAACGTAGTTCACCCAAAACGGGAAATAACAATAATACATTATCAGTGTTTCAAAATGCGTATTGAAAAGCTGGGTGTTTTTTCAGGATTGCATATTGTATAAGCCTCATTGAACAATGAGGTATAAGCCTCCGTTTTTAGAGCAATTGTAATATTTATGTAAGAAAAATACAAATAATAGAAAGGAATCAGATAAACTAGTATAATAAAATACTCATTAAATTTCAAGAAACTTCGACAAGAGAATCTGAAAAAGAAAATGATCTTCTTGAATAAGAAAATGAAAACATAACCATTCCAAAACTTCAACAATGTGATTAACAAAAAGGTGAGTGTTAAAGATATTCCAGCAGTATATATGGTCAATCAAAGCAGATTCTGTTAGAGATCTGTTACAGCAGTATATTTGCATAATTAATGTAGATTCTAGTCATTAAGTATAGAATATACAATTTCCTAGATTAGCTATTATACTCCTGTATATATTCAGCATTCTTTGTTTAATTGAGATACAGAAAACATTTCCATACTTCTCTGTTTACATGGTATCAGAGCCTATGCTCAGGATGCTTCCCTAATCTTATAGCCGTCACCTGTCACCCGTGAAACCCTAGATCAGCTTTCACCCGTTAACATTCTAGCTCTGTCAAAACAGATCCCCAGCTTCCTTCTATCCAGAATCATCTCTTATTTTATAAAATGGGAGATGGTGCAAAACCAAATGATGCTACAGTCCCTGGAATTATCAATTATTCTGCAGCTCTGAAAATACCAGTCAAGCTAAACTCAACTAATTGGGCACAATGGAGTATGTTTGTTCAGACCGGCCTTGAAAGCTTGGATAAAGATGCATATCTGAACCAAGATCCTCCTGATCCTAAAACCCGAGAATGGAAGCTTGATGATAGTGGAATCAGAATGGCTTTGTGGAACGCTATGGAACCTCAAGTTTTGAGTATTGCTCAAAATTATCCTAGCACAAAGAAGATGTGGGAACACTTGCAGTCCTCCTTCTCAGCAAAAGATTCTATTTCCCACATGTACTCTGTGTTTGGATCTTATTTCAGATGTGAGCAAGGTGACTCAGATCTTACTGAATATTATACAAGGCTGTCCAAATTAGCAGAGGAGCTGCGTGTTCTTTTCCCGGTAACTCCAGATGTCAAAGTTCAGGAGGAGCGGTTAGCAAAAATGGATGTGATGACGTTTATTTCAGGGCTGTCTCCCAAGTACTCAAATTCTCGTCCTTTGCTCCTGAGTCACTCTGCCTCTCAATCTCTAGCCTCGACATACCATCTTGCACGAGAAATGTATCCGGACAGTTCAGTAACACAATCATCTACTAGCACAGACGCATCTGCTTTTACAACTTTTAATGCCCGAAATAATGGAAAAGTAGTGAATCAGAAGAATGATCCCAATAAGAAGATCCAGTGTCATTACTGCAAAGAATATGGACACACCAAGTATAATTGTCCAAACCGACCGCCCGGATCTTATCCACCCCCGCGTCTTCCTCGTGCTCAAATAGCATCCATTGATGATACAATAGATGATTTTCCTGAAGCTTCTGGACAGGTAGCATCCACTCCCCGCGCTAATGCAGCACACTCAGGTATATCTTCAACTTGTCTTTCTGCTTGCTCATCATCCTGGATTATTGATTCTGGTGCTACAGATCATATGACTGGGAACAAAAACCTCATACTCAACCTAGATACAAGTATAACTCACAACCCTGTCAAACTTGCTAATGGTTCTTCATGTAAAATTATGGGCATAGGATCCATCAATAATTTATCAAACCTAAACTTGTCATCTGTTCTTTATGTTCCTACCTTTCCAGATAGCCTTATATCTGTTAGTCAGCTTACCAAGAAGCACAATTGTTCAGTAACTTTCTTCCCTACACATTGTGTTTTCCAGGAACTAGGGACGAACCGGTTGATTGGCACAGGTTTTGAGTCTCAAGGTCTCTATCGCTTGTCTGCTCCACAGTCTCCTTCAGCATACTTAAGTGAATCCAGTGTTCGTGAAGCTCATTGTCAGCTTGGTCATCCTTCTTTACCTGTTCTCAAGCAACTTAGACCAGATTTTTCACCTTTTCATGAGTTTTTTTGTGAGTCATGTCAGTTAGGGAAACACACCCGCTGTCCTTATCCTCTTAAAGAATCTAAACGTGTCAGTACTTTATTTCAGTTAATTCATTCAGATGTCTGGGGACCTTGTCCAGTTACTTCAATAAATGGTTTTAAATACTTTATTACGTTTGTTGATGATTATTCCCGTGCAACTTGGGTTTACTTGCTTAAATCAAGAAATGAAATATCTGCCATATTCCGTGAATTTTATGCATATGTTAAAACCCAATTTGATAGTTGTATAAAAACAGTTCGATCTGACAATGCAAAAGAGTATTTCTCTTCTGATTTCACACGTTTTTTATCTGAACATGGTATTATACATGAATCATCATGTCCGTACACCCCCCAACAGAATGGCATTGCTGAACGTAAAAACCGTCATCTGTTGGATGTTGCTCGCACTATGATGATTCATTATAATGTGCCCCAACGTTTCTGGGCTGATGCGGTCCTCACAGCAAATTATCTAATATAAACCGCATGCCATCCTCTGTTCTTTCTGGGAAAATACCATTTTCTCTTCTATTTCCCAAAGGCACTCCCTTTCCTCTGCCTCCTAAGATCTTTGGTTGTGTATGTTATGTCCATGATCACCGTCCAGGACATAATAAGCTTGACCCACGTGCTATCAAGTGTGTATTTCTAGGGTACTCACGAGTCCAAAAAGGTTATCGTTGTTATTGTCCAACCCTTCGTCGATATTTTACTAGTGCTGATGTTACTTTCCATGAGTCACGTTCATTCTTTGATAGCACCACTAACTCTTCGGAGTCATCATTCCCAGATTATTCTGAAACTGTAGATCCTCCAGTCTATATCACCCCTATACAAACACCACACAACTCGTCTCCCACTTTACCATTAGATACAAATACTGGATTCACAAAAGTGTACACTAGACAACGAAGAAAAGCAACACAGAACCAAGAGAACTCCACCCTGTGCCATGAAATCGGAACTTCTCCTGTTCCAGCACCTCATCCTAATCCAGAACCACAATCTGTATCCGAACCTCTCCCTTCCGAACCTTGTGACCCACCTGAAGCACCTCTTCCTGACCTTCCAATTGCCTTACGAAAGGGTACCAGGAGTTGTACCAGATATCCTATTCAAAATTACCTTGCATACTCTCATCTTTCACCTGAAGCATATGCTTACCAAATAGCCATTGATAATCACCCTGTTCCCAGGAATGTAACTGAGGCCTTGAATCATCCTGGATGGTTTAAAGCAATGCAGGAAGAGATGGATGCGCTACAGAAAAATCAGACCTGGGATTTGGTTCCGCTTCCTCCCGGAAAGCGCACAGTTGGCTCTAAATGGGTTTATACAGTTAAACTTCATCCTGACGGCTCACTGCATCGATTGAAAGCCCGATTAGTCGCCAAGGGTTACTCTCAAACATATGGGATTGACTATGACGAAACTTTTTCCCCAGTAGCCAAGATGCCATCTGTTCGTATTTGTATTGCTCTAGCTGCAATCAATCATTGGCCGCTTCATCAGTTGGATATCAAGAATGCTTTTCTTAATGGCTTTCTTGAGGAGGAGGTATATATGGAGCAGCCCCGTGGATTTATAGCTAAGGAGGAGGCATCTAAAGTATGTCGACTGAGACGTTCTTTATACGGACTCAAACAATCTCCTAGAGCATGGTTTGGACGTTTTTCAGATGTCCTTCAACAGTTTGGCATGACCAGAAGCTCTCAGGATCATTCCGTGTTCTTTAGACATCAAATGGGTCGACAACTCATTCTTGTAGTTTATGTGGATGATATTATCATCACTGGAAATGATAGTAGGGGAATTTCAGAATTGAAAGAGTTTCTACAATCACAGTTTCAGGTCACAGACTTGGGACGTCTTCGTTACTTTCTTGGGATAGAAGTCTCCCAGTCTCCACAGGGGATTCTTTTATCTCAACGGAAGTATGTCCTTGATATGTTGACTGAATGTGGCTTACTAGGATGCAAACCAGTGGACAGCCCAATGCTTACAACAAACAAACTTCTTGAAAAGGATGGAAGTCCTATGAAGGATCCAAAGCGTTACAGGAGACTAGTCGGGAAACTGAATTATCTAACAGTTACCCGACCTGACATATCATTTCCAGTAAGTGTCTTGAGCCAGTTCATGTCTGATCCATACACAGGCCATTGGAATGCAGCCCTTCGTGTTTTGAGGTATCTCAAAGCCACACCGGGCTTAGGAGTACTCTATTCCGATCAGGGTCATTGTCGAATAGGTGCATTCACAGAAGAAGGAGATGGCAGGATATCAGGTTTTTCGGATGCAGATTGGGCTGGTTGTCCTATTTCCAGAAGGTCAACTACTGGATATTGTGTCTTTGTCGGTGGAAATTTAGTGTCCTGGAAAAGTAAGAAACAACACATTGTCTCTCGATCAAGTGCAGAGTCAGAATATAGAGCCATGGCAGATGTTTCATGTGAAATGATATGGGTTAAAAGATTACTCAAAGAGCTTGGAGTGCATTCTAATAATTTGATGAGACTTTATTGTGATAACCAGTCAGCTATTCATATAGCCAAGAATCAGGTGTTTCATGAGAGGACCAAACACATTGAAGTTGATTGTCACTTAATTAGAGATCATGTGGTTGGCACACAATCAAACCCTCCATCAATCATACCGGTGCATGTTAGGACTGAACATCAACTTGCAGACATTTTTACGAAGCCACTCCGTAAATCACAAATAGATTTTATTTGTAGCAAGTTGGGCATGATTAATATCTTTGCACCAACTTGAGGAGGAGTGTTAAAGATATTCCAGCAGTATATATGGTCAATCAAAGCAGATTCTGTTAGAGATCTGTTACAGCAGTATATTTGCATAATTAATGTAGATTCTAGTCATTAAGTATAGAATATACAATTTCCTAGATTAGCTATTATACTCCTGTATATATTCAGCATTCTTTGTTTAATTGAGATACAGAAAACATTTCCATACTTCTCTGTTTACAGTGAGCATAATATTTATGTTCTCAACACTGACAAACACAATCAGGGAAAAAAACTAAGCACCTGGATGGAGCAGTAAGAAGAGACCGTGGGTCACAAAGATAAGAGAGATAATATCACAGGTCTGGAAGTCGGCCCAGTTTTCTCGAGTCGCAATTGAGCAGAGGAAGGAGAAAAAGTTGCTTAGGCTGTAGGGCTATCCGTAAAGCAAAAATGCTAAGGGATTTTAAAGTTCAAAGAGTGGGCATAATTTCTTCATCCTTATGGCGTAAATCTAAGCGATGCCTCAAGGAGTAAGCCATGAGGCATACAACCCATGCTTGAATTGCCAAACCCTCGCCGTTTCTTCCACTGGGTAGAGCCTAAAGGAGCAATTGTGCTAAAGAATTATAAGGCGCAACTGCGCAAGGAGTTGAAAAGTATTTATGACTATCATTTATTAGTGTTAATAAGTGGCGGATGACGATTATAGGGACTGGGAAAAAATCCTTATAGTAACGCCAAGGACCATCACAGTCTGCCATTATTCATAAAGTTTCAGTTGGTTCTAGTAAAATCAACAACACCATTTCCCTATGGTGATATCATGATCGTCATTTAGTGACATCATCACTGATAACTAATCTTCCAGACATGGGCTATAGATGGTAATTGGTAAACTTTTGCTACTACATGGTTCAAACGAGACAATGCCAACGCTCTCTTCTCTTAATTGCTATTTTCCCATGTGTTAAACTGGAATAGAATATGGAAACTCAATGAAATTATTGCACAAACTAGAAAAGTAACATGAATTTACGGTCTTCTCCCAAATTAAAAAATTCTTGCACACAAACCCTATTTGCTATGCCACAAAATAATAGGATCAACTCGCAACCGGATTCCCATCATCATCACATTTGAATAAACTGACTCCCACATTCGTACAGCAATACATATAGACCTGCACCAAAATATAGTGACCAAGCCAACACTCACTATGGAGCACGTTGGAGGGAGGATTATACCATCTTCGTGCTCACTAGTATTACTCCAACACCTGAAGATTCATTTTCAAGGGAAAGCTACAGCTTGTAGATATTATGCAGAAAGAACACGTATATATCATGTCAGGATCAATAGACACTTCCAGAATGATTCTAAGCGGTTCCAATAGTAAATTCTACTATAAAAAGAAAGTTATATTAACTGTACATGGTATTATCTGCAAACATGAACTAATAGCATTTTATTTCTTTTTTTAACCCAAGACAGAAAAGAACTGAAAGAAATAACCGGCACCTGAACATGAGGATAAGCATCCATCGATGAGGAATCCATAAGCAAAACCTATGCCTACACTTTATTCTTTCCGCTCCAATCAGACAGCTGAAAATTATGAGCAGACATACATGAGTATAATTGTATGAAGCAAAAAAGGGGATAAACAAAAGGAACAATCTTGATTGATTATTTTAGCTTCATTGGTTAAACTATCATATCACAGTTCAAATGCGGAAAAAATCATGTAAAACCATTCCGTGTAAAATTGTTCAACTCTAACAAACTAGCAGGATTAAAATAGCTGGAAAATCCGTCTACCTCTGTCTTGGAAGAATTTTGAAGGAATGGGACGAATTATTTCCAGCGCTGCAAATTGTGTATATGGGTAGCGATGCACGTGATTGGATTGGGAGGTGCGTCGCGACGGTCTGGGCTCAGTGGTGTGACCCGATCCGCAACAATTGTGGACTCAGGCACTCTCAAGCTTGGGATTACCAGTCACCACCAACTATTTGGGCTGGGTTGGCCCGTCTCATCGTTTTCTTCTACAGTACAATTGGGGAAATTCTATATGTAGCCCTTTTTTATACCTGAAACTGCCAAATCTATTCTAATCTAAAAGCAAAAGATTTCTCGGAATAGTGTTCCCTCCCAAAACTGTCAACATCAAGGAAATAGCAATAAATATCAAATAAAGAAATCAAAAATGATAAAATCGTATGGTGTGCGGGCAGCATGTGGCGCAGAAATCCCACCAAAATATTTCTAAATAGTGAAAAGTTGAATGGTATACATCACACCTACATTAGAAAGTGGAATAGTAGAAAATCAAACAGTAAAAACAACAGTGAATGGCGATTGAACTTTAATGTTTTCAGCTTTAGTAACACTTTATTAGTAAAAATCAGCATGGATCAAATCCCGCCAGCCTGTCTTGAGGCGTGTGTGCACAGTTGCACATCAATCCTTACTATGGCCAGTCTGTCCTTTGGAAATGTGAATCTTCTCAAGGAAGGATTATCCAATTTTCTCTATAAATAAGGACCTGATTACAATTGAACCCATTTAAAGTTTTGAGCCTACAAGTGTTGATGAGGTGAAAAGCAAATCACAATACAACTCTAGAAATATAAGCAAACGTCTATGCTTCAAATAATTTCTTGATGTCTATCTTACAAATGAGCATGTACCCGCCGCAATGGGTCTCCAATCTCCACAGCTAATCCCTGATAAAAGTTTGTCACTGATCAAAACCAAATAGAAGGATTTTGTCCAAACATTTTTTATGTGTAATAGTTCAATGAAGGCATTTTATTTCAATCTCAAATACACAACCAAAATTATGATAAAGAGATCATCAACATCTTACAAAAAACCGATTATTTTGAGCTTAGATTTATTGGTGTATTCAATGTTTTGTAAATCCAATCATAAAAGAAATCTCAACATAAAGTTTAAACACACAGGGATATGTCTATACATATAGACACACAAAATAGAAATACACTTCACAAGTACATACATAAATGAAAATATACATCACGGGTTTTAATCCTTGGAGTATATTATGGAATTCTGTTTGGACTACGTTTTAACATAGAAGTGGCGTAATATTTCTTGGAACATTTCAAATGCATACTTTCTGAAAAATCAAAACACATTTATAGACAACCCTTTAGAGTATAGAAATTCTCATGATAACCCATTTCCCTGTAAATTATACGGATAAAAAAATTTAACATTAGGAATATACACACCTTCATTCAAATGAATATTAGTTACAAACAATTTGTCATTCAAGAGTAAAATATATATATTGAAAATTCATTTTTAAGATTCTGTGTAAAAAAATCATTAAAGTGGTGTCAGAAAATAGATCTTTTAAGAGTTAAAATTGAAACATTGTGTATTGTCTAACTAAATATACAGAACGAGTGTTTTTGAGCGCTTTTAGCTAAGGATGTTTTTTACTTGGACTGTAATTTGTCCCAGACCAGACCAGACCAGTTCAGACAAGACCAGATCAGACCAGACTTGGATAGTTATAAAAATACAAAGAAACCAGACCTTACCAGACCAGACCAGACCAGATCAGACCAGACCAGACCAGCAAATTACAGTCCAAGTAAAAACATCCTAAGACATACCTGGGAGTAATGCTTTAGTATTGTGAGCACATCAATTTCATTGCATGTTTACAATGTTATGGTTTCATGTAAATTTGATCTCGTAATGCTTAGTAATCTCATTTTGACCTTAATATTATAAGTGTGTTTTGTTTAATGTTTTGATGTATATCAATATTACATGAAGATGTTGTCATCAATTGATAGTGTGTTTTGAATTACGAAGCACACATAAATTTGAAAGAAAAATTCTCAAACCGTGCATCGCACGGGTGAGTTTACTAGTTCTTGTAACAATTTACATTTTCTCTAATTTCTAATTTACCCTTAGTATTTAATACATGTACGACTACTCTTATCACATCCATATGCCTATACCGTTGGAAGTATGAAGAGTATTGTTTCCAGAAAGAAGGAAAGATAGAAAAGATTGCTACCCTTTCTCCCGATTTTGTCCAACCAGAAGAAGTAGAGAAGACAAGTTAATGTGTTCGGCTGTGCAGTTAGGACGTCACTCGACTAAGCTTTCAATTCAGATAGAAAAGAACAGCGGCTTGCTTAATTTTAGATGCTTGATCGGACAAAACTACCAATAGAAGTGCTTACTCTAGAAACTTTGATTGTCTCATAGACATAGATTCTTGAAATTTTGGGTTCATTTATTGATTGAAATTAAATGTGAGATTTGTGGTTGATATATGAATTCTTGTAGCTTAACCATTATTGCTTTATCTATTTTATTTTGATGTTTAAACTGAAGTTTCTGAAAATGATTAAATTCATCTATTAGATATTTCAACAAATGTCAGGATTTTACTAAAACAAAACCCAAATACTAGTATATCTTATGTATATATGTCGGCGATTAAAGTTTTGTAAAATAGACATAGACTTTGTATATCCAATTTTTATCATTTTTTCAACACTGAAAATTTGTATATCTGATGGGCAATTCATATATTCAATTATTTGTCATCTCATAAAATAGATGGAGATTTTTTTATTTGGAGTGAACTTATTACATGTTATGCATGAACACATGTTACTCTGTATTTATTACCTGTTCTTTGTGGGTCAATTGAAGGATCACATCAATGGAATTTGAATTTATTTATATTATAGTGAATGAAGCAAATGCTTTATATGTGCCTTTTAGATGTTTTCTTTCCTTAGGGAGTTTAGTGATAATGGGAAGTCAGCTAGTTCCGGAAAAGTTATTTTTCCTTTTTTAACAATTGCAAGAAAAACCATCTTTTGTATACAGCCAAGTGTTAACGTAGTGTGATATCAAGTGTGTTGGGTGCTTTAGATGACATCATGGTGGTGTGGAAATTGTATTTTCTGTGGCTGGTGAGCACTTGGTAAATTTTGTACCTCAGGGTGACTTGTGGCTGATTATGAAGACTATATTCCACCATTATAGTCTCGAGTCCTAGGGGTTCGGTTCTTGTGCATGTTTTGGGTTTGTAATTTTAAGTTCTAATGGGCATTTACAAGTAATATGAATCTGTTTCACCCATTTGAGAAGATAAAATATGTTGATCATTATTTTTTCTTGCAGTTCGAAGTCTCATTCCTTGTTTGTGGTTATTTTCATGATGGATGTTATCATGAATCAATTTGAGATATTTCCTTATGGGATCTGTACCACTATAACCTGTCTTTCGGATTGTAACATTGACCTGACTGCCTTTGGTGGTCTGGTGATGATTAGTTAATGATTTGGTATCACTTCTTGAAGAAAGGCAAAATAAGGGTGCAGAGTTCATAGTAAAAGATGTACAACTCATTGTAAAAGATGTACACGTCATTGTAAAAGATGTACAACTCATTTGTGCTGATGTGTAGATCTCTCTCTCTCCCTCTCCCTCTCCCTCTCTCAAACACTATATTTTAGACCTCGTGAAACATGTTTATTCTTAGTATATATGCTACTTTTTCATACAATGTTGCATAAGGGAAAATGAGTATAATGGATTAATTGTTCCACATTATTATGTACACATCGACGGATGAGAGAGTCCTAAGGTGTCAGTGATTTATTAACTTAATGAAATAATAACAGTTATGATACTTTTGTGTTTGAGATGCAATTTAAGTAGCAACCTTGTATTATGCAAAATACTCCGTGCAAACAAAACAGTTTTCCCCCTTTCCTTTGTCCCATTTTTATGTCATATACTCTTATTTATAATTTACTAAGCTAATCAACTCTTTTCTCTTTATTTAATTTCTTTTATCTTTCACATTTTAAAATTTGGAAATTAGTGCTTAATAGTTAATAGAACTTCCAAAATAGTTTTAAAATATTTAAATTATTAATGTTGCACTTGCTGGTTTTGATGGGGTTTGAGAGTTAAATAATACTACTTCCGTCCCCCTAAGTTTGGGACAAGAAAAGGTGACACTGTTATTAATAAAAGTGGGTTTATGTGGTTGATATTGAATTGATAAAGTAAGAATGATTTAGAACAACAAAAATTTTACCAAATAAGGTATGAGACAATCTTAGTGGGACGGACCGAAAAGGTAAAATGGGACAATCATATCGGGACGGAGGAAGTAGAGGGTAGTGAATAGTGAAAAAGTGGAAGACATTAGAGGAGAAGGTATAACACTTGCAAAGAGAATATGAAAAAAGCAGAAAATACGGCAAGCGCTTCCAAGTCACCACAAACTGTTTATTTAATAAGAATTTGCAGTTGTAGCATTAGTATTTAGTAACATGATGACTAACCAAATGCTCGTTTTCCTTGTTACCAAATTCATGAAGCAAAGGAGTGCAACAACAGACTCACGACTCAACTGCAATGGTATGAGTTGACTTTGTCATTTCATTTATGGAAGACATGATATCTCAAATGGTGATAAACTATTATGGTCTTCATGGATACAGGTATACAGTGACTTTGTAACTTTATTTTATTTAATGAATAAAATCTTTTTCTAAAAAAACAGGTATACAGTGACTAATAAATAGATTGAGTTTTCATCTGGAAAAAAACAAAGAAAGAATGACAAATATTGATACTAAGGAAAAATATCATAGAATGTATATACAATTATATATCACCGAAGCAAACATATTATACAATGATCTCTTCTTTAAGCTTAAAAATGTATAAACTCCTTAGATGGTAAAATTAGGAAATAACTTGTCACTATTATAGCATTATACATGTGATTGATTATTTTCTTAAAAGGGATAGATAAAGATATGAAACTCTTATTCTTATATTCCTTTTGAGAAACAACACTTGCTGCTATTAGTTACATGCTTTATTTCTGTTTGCAGAAAAATGTGAGTTAAGAAAGTGTAAGCAAAAATCAGCAACTTGCACCAGATTCTTAAAAGGACGGATTTACGGGAATTCCATGCATCCATTCCCAAAATACGAATGTCAGAGTTAGGGTATGA